GGCAGAAATGTATTTGCTTCTAAAGAGCCTGAATTGCTACTTGAAAGATATTTTTACAACTATTAAATGTGTAGAAACAAAGAAGAAAAAGCCTGAGGAGACATTAAGCGATTGCTGTCGGGTGGATTCTGATTTAAAGCAACGCTACAGGACAAGAGAAAAACTGTCGCCAACAGTCTCCAAGGATTTCCATCTCAACAGACACACAAGCCTCATCTTGCTCTCACAGAGTACCTGGTGGGTTTGAACGTCCAACATCTCAGGTAGCAGCCAAGTGCTTTCCCACAGTGCCACCAGAGCTCCCCGAGAAGCTACTGGTCCTTCAAATTTGAGGAAAGATACTAGCAACACACTTGGTCCAAACCATACTTTCTCTTTGTAGCGGGGGTATCAACTCCAGTTCTACCCCTTGTGTGCCAGTTTGTCCTACTGCAGTGGCTTGTATGTTGCTATGATGCTGGAAGCTATGCCACCGATATTTCAAATGCCAGCAGAGTCACCCACTGTAGATAGGTTTTAATGCCAGGTGGAACATACAGGAATCAAATCAACTACATCTCTGGGAAGAGACGATAGATATGTTCAATATTATCAGCCAAAACAAGGCAGCGGCTGACTGAAGAACAGATCATCATTTACTGATGTGCAAGTTCAGGTTGAAGCTGACGAAAATAAAAACAAGTCCAAGAGAGCTAAATACAACCTTGAGGATAACCCACCTGAATTTCAAGAACATCTCAAGAACAGATTTGATGTATTAAACACTAATGACCAAGGTCTTCTTTGTATGGTCCGGCTTCTTGGATCATTTGCTCAGCATACAGATTAAGTAAGTAGGGTGAAAAGATACAGCCTTTTTACATCAACCTGCAATATGCAGATGACACAACCTTGCTTGCCGAAAGACAAGAGGACTTGAAGCACTTGCTGATGGAAACCAAAGAATACAGCCCTCAGTACGGATTACCAGTCAGGGTAAAGAGGACAAAAATCCTCACGGTTCGACCAACACACAACACGTGATAAACAGAGAGAAGAGGGAAGCTGTCAAGGATTCCATCCTGCTTGAACGCACATCCAGCAGATGGCACTGCACTGGGAAAATCTGCTGCACGAGGGAGGCTGCTTTAAAGTGGGAAAGAGCAGGGAGGCCGCTTTGAGGACTAACGTGAGCCTGACCCGAGCCAGGGGGCTTTCAATCGCCGGACAACAAATACGAGAGACTGCAGAAAAATTGATGACCTTGGACAACAAATAAGACTGCAGACAAACTGATGACGTTGGATTACCGTGTGGGGGAAGAATAGTCAAAGAAGGCTCCTGAAAAAGCAAGGACGGCAATGCTTTTGTCTCACGTACTTTACACACGTGACTGGGAGGGCGCCGTCTCTGGAGCAGGACATCATGCTGGGGAAGGTAGGATCAGGGAAAAAGAGGAAGATCCTCAATGATGGACTGGCCTAGTGAACTCACCAAGGGGCCGAAACGTAACAACGCAAGGCAGGGACAGGACGGGCAGCGTTTCATGCTGTTGTGTGCAGGGTCGCTGTCAGAACCAACCCGACAGCATACCGTGCACCACAATTAAGGCTCGCACACCCCTTCCCATCAGCCTTATCGGCAACCCCTACAAGGGCAACCCTAGTACGGAGGCAGTTCCCTGGTCCAAGGTGAGAAAAGGCCAGGGACATGAGTCACGTTCTGTGACATTCTGGC